GAGACAAATAAATTTATTTGAGCATAAGCTTTAGTGGGCTAAAACCCACTTGATCCGTGGGTTTTACCCACGAAAGCTTATGCCGTGGGTTTTAGCCCACTAAAGCTTATGCTCAAATAAATTTATTTGTCTCTAAGGTGCCACAAGTACTCCTCGTTCTTTTTGCTAGAGCACAATGTCCTTTTGAAATGCTTATCTCCTTTCCATGGGGTTCTGGGAAATTAATCCCCAGTGAGATCACATGACTTAACTTCACATACAGTGACCATCATAATTCCAGGTACCAAGACAGCTCTTCATCACAGGCTTTGTTTAAAAAGGCTCTGACTGTCAAAGCAGCATATGTATGTCAGTCTGTCTGGACCCTGGGACTGCGTAAGGGGTTTCTATTCACCACAAGAGCGCCACCTCCTGGACAAATCTGGCGTAGCAACTTTCTACCAGTAGTTAGTCACTGTGGTGGTCTCTCTTTCTGTAACTTTCAGTGTTCCCTCTTTGCACTCAGCCCTCTTGCTGGGTCCCTATATGGTCTCCCTTTCTGGGGTATGAAACTCTCACTGGATCAGCTCTCAGGATGGTGCCTCCAACAGTCCTGCTAGTGGCTTGTAGTGGAATCCAGACCTTCCCTCAACAGTGGGTTCCAGCCCAGGGACCTTATAATCAGCAGCCGCCAAGGTCTGCACAGTCTCCTTCCTTGATGCTGTTTCCCTTGGCTTCTTCCTACGCTGCAGTCTCAGGTTTTCCTTCTTCACAACTCCTCTGGGATTGGCCCTTCTTCTAGGGCTAGGATCCCAAGGCTTATTCTCCCCATGGTTTTCCTTCTCCCCACCTCTCTGCTCCCAGCGAGTGACTGCAGAATCTCCCTTTTCAGCCCCTGCTACTTCAAATTTCCTCTTTGTATTCCTTACCTAGTTCTCCCCTAGCTGGGCTTGATCAGCAATTAGTAATTTATGAATCTCTGGGTCTCCCTCCATATGCAACTATGAAGGTTAATTGGCTTCTTCTGGACCACCTTAACCCCTTCAGGACTGATATGGGTGCTTTGAAACGTTCTGCATTCACGGAGACTCAGGCATTAAAAGATCTAAGCACAACAGATGTTGCAACAAGTACTCAGCTCTGACTCTGAGGCTGGGTTTGTACATTTCTGTTAAAAGTGCATGATGTTTTTTACCATGGATCTTCTCTCATGTAGGAGCTGGGGTGCCCACATCTGTATGCACGTTGTGCACAGTGCATACCACTGTTGGGGAGTAGGGCCACCCAGAGTGAGGGAAAAGGGGGAAGTTTGCCCCGGGCCCCCAAACCTGAGTGATGCTGCAATTCCATACACTGGGTCGCAACACCACTCACTGAAACTTGGCTCGGCAGCCCTTTGAGACGGGGGGCTGCCAGGCCAAAGCTGAGTGTCGCTAGCTGCCATGCTAAATTAAAGTGAGAGTGGTTTAGTTGTGTACCATATGAAAAAATTTGGAGGGCATCCACGTGTAGAAGTGTTACCAATAGTAAAATAGAAATCTGTAGCAGTAAGGGCATGGGAGAAAATCAGAGCAATAAGGTAAAAACAGGTCAGCAAAGTAGATAAAACTATGATCTTGCAAGGTCTGATGTTCCTAGACAATGTCACATTTATCCAGATTATTTCCAATAGAATGGCTTGAGGTGTTTTAATGAACTAAAAATATACCTCCACCCTAGCTTACTTTTCATTAATCTCCTAGAGTAGTTTGGTGAATTGGTCTGCTGTGTTATGTGATCTGTAGGACCCTACCAAATTCACGGTCATGAAAAATATGTCACGGACCATGAAATCAGACCTCCCCTGTGAAATTTAGCTATTTGAGGGAGGGAGGGAGGGAGGGAGGAAGAGAGAGCAACAGGGCTGGGGACACCCCAGTCAGGGTCTCCTACTGTTCACCGGCTCTAGCTACTAGGCTGCGTCGGGCTGGGGAGGGACAGGACTTCCTCTTCCCCTGCACGGCTACTCACAGTGGAGATCAGACCCACCTCCACCTCTGGGAACCTCCTCCAGCTCTGAAGGCAGCAAAGAAGTGAGGCTGGCAATACCGTGACCACTCTCTACAACAGCTTTGTGACCCCCACGCCCATGGCCCCCTGTTGGGTTGATACCCCAGGGTTGCAACATTGAAATTTCAGGTGTAAACATCTGAAAACATGAAATTGACCAATTTTAAAACCTTCTGTCCATGAAATTGACCAAAATGGACTGTGAATTTGTTAGGAGGCCCTAGTGATCTACTTTGCAAACTTTAAATATGATTTGGGAATAAATATCAGCTGCTGCTAACTGAGTTTCTTCACCTCTTTGTCATCCTGAGTGTTTACATTTTAAAACTTCCCTCTTTTTTAATAGGATCGAAAACTTCTTGCTACAGCTCAACAGATGCTCCAGGACAGCAAGACGAAAATAGAAGTCATAAGGATGCAGATTCTTCAGGCAGTCCAGACCAATGAATTGGCTTTTGATAATGGTGATGAAGTAGAGAGGACAGAAATGTGCTTACTAATGTTAGAATTTTACATAGGGATGTACTAATATGCATTTATGACTGCAAGAAAACCTTGGCGGATGAGGAGGTCAGATAGAAGACAGGCTTTGTTTTTAGTGAACTTAAATAGTACAGAACAATAGAGATGCCACACTACATATTCAGACCTGAATGTGATTTTTCTAAAGAAAAGGTGCTTTCCCTTATTTGTAGTTTGCGGTTTGCTTTGCATTACTCTTTTCACACGTCGGCCTTTCCATTTTGGCTTTTCCTTTAATAGTTCAGTTTAGATTAAGGTCCAAATTCTGCCCACCTAACTCATGTGGATAGTCTAGGACTATTAGTTCTATTGGGAACAGTTAAGAGAGTAAGGCAAATAGGATTTGGGCCCACATCTGGAAATTTTAGGCCAGGGAAGAAATGAGTTTTTACAAACCAAAGCACAAAATTGTCTCAGACCAAATCTTTTCATTGCTCAAACACTACATTTCAGAATTTAGTGGTGTGGTTTTTTGGGTTTTTTGGGGGGGGAAAGTTCCCTTGCAGGCTGTGAGAACCTGTCTGCTATTTTTCAGTCTACAGGGAAATTTTACAGATAAGTTAAAGGCCATGAACTATTCTAGTATGATGCTGTAAAATTATGAGCATAGTGGTATATCTCTTGATTTTAAATCTTGTACATGTATATCTTGTGAATTATTGAAATTGCCTGATCATCAGGGCTTGAAATATCCATTTGCTAATGATAAGTGGGAAGTCTTTTTACTGCGAAGTGTCATAAATTTTGTCAAACTACATTTCTAAATCTTATGGTTGCAAAGAGAACCTACCAAATGTAAACCAATGCAGTGTTATCTTCTTGAGTATGCAGACATGGACTGCAGTGTCTCCACTGCTGCTCCTAACTTTGCCAAACAGTACTAGAAGGTAAGGTAATATATTTTATTGGACCAACTTCTATTGGTGAGGGAGACAAGCTTTTGAGTACACAGCTCTTCTTCAGGATATTACCCAACCCATCTTGTCTCTCTAATATCCTGGGATTGATACGGCTACAAGAACACTGAATACATCAATAACACTGGTCATGTTCGCTCTTACTATTCTGAACTCTGGAGGCAGTAGTGAAACTGTCAAGAAATTATCTGCTGCTGCTTGGGAAATCTGAGCACGAGCAGAAGGAGTCACTAGAGTTACTGACCAAAAACAATTTGGGAAAGGCCTGGTGTAAGACCTCTCTCATCCCCCATTCTTGCAGCAGCCACAAGAGCTGGGGTGTGGTGTGGAATAGGGCAACAGTTAGAGCTTCAAATTGATCAGACATCATCTTGTCAGAGACTGATATGAAAGATGAAGTCTCCAATTTGGGTTCAGAGGCAGAAATCTAGAAGAAAAACTCAAAACCGTACCCTTTCCAGTAGGTAGGGGGCTGTGAGGGAGATTTGGCTTTTTGCAAGGGCATTGTCCCTTAATTTCCCTGCGGAGGATCACTGTCTTTGATATCCTCTAGTTAGTAAGTTTAGTTCTTTGGTTAGTATCAGTCTAGTGGATTTATCAAGCTCGGAACATAATCCTTTAAATGCAACACTTTGGATTTCATTATTGCTTCTATAACGTGGATATGATCTGCTTCTCTTTTACAGTCTAACAAAGCTGCATCTATTTTTCCTATACTGTTAAATTCTGCATCTATTAAATTATTTGTATTGCTAAATATTGAGAACAAAAGTAATAGATGGTATTCAGTGAAGATTAAATGTTTGTTTATTTGTAGCAAAACCTGTGATAAGCCCTCTTGAGCTTCGAATGGAAGAACTGCGGCATCATTTTAGGATAGAGTATGCAGTAGCAGAAGGTGCAAAGAACGTGATGAAATTGCTTGGCTCTGGAAAAGTTACCGACAGAAAAGCACTTTCAGAAGTAACTTTTTAATGTAGTTTATGACATTATATTTTAAATACTATGTTTGAAGAATGTGGATTGTTCTAAAAATCTTTTTTTTAATTTATATCGAACAAGGCTCAAGCAAGATTTAATGAATCAAGCCAGAAGCTGGACCTCTTAAAGTATTCATTAGAACAAAGACTGAATGAACTTCCTAAAAACCATCCCAAAAGCAGTATTATTATAGAGGAGCTTTCATTGGTCTCTTCACCAACACTAAGTCCACGTCAAAGTATAATATCTACTCAGAACCAGTATAGTACACTATCCAAACCTGCAGCTTTAACAGGTATGTGGTTTTGTATAATTTACTACTCCTTTTGATTAAACTTACTTGAGAATTCAAGTGACACATACATACGTTATTCTATATTGTCTGTAAAAGTATGTGGAAATAGCTCATTCTTACATGCTTTTCTTAAACAAAATAGTTGTAGGATATCTGACCAAAACACACACAATAAAATGTTAAGCTAGATTTAGTAAAGATGTTACATAATTTGTATATAAATATAAAGGTTTAGTGCAGTGGTTCTCAAACTGGGTGTCGGAACCCCTCAGGGGGTTGTGAGGTTATTACATGGGGGGGGTCGCGAGCTGTCAGCCTCCACCCCAAACCCCGCTTTGCCTCCAGCATTTATAATGGTGTTAAATATATAAAGTATTTTTAATTTATAAGGGGGGGTCTCACTCAGAGGCTTATTGTGTGAAAGGGGTCACCAGTACAAAAGTTTGAGACCCACTGCTTTAGTGTTTGTAGTGGCTGATAGAATTGAGGTTCCTTAAATATATTTGATATGTACAAAGTTCAATTAAAAAAAGAAATGTTCTGGTCCTTAAGTAGGTCTCTCTAGAATAATGCTAGCACTTTTCATCTTTAGATTATCAAGTGAATTATAAAGATGGATAAGTATGGTTATCTCCATTTTACAGATGGGGAAACTGAGGTGCAGAGGAGTTAAATGACTTGCCTAGATCACATACCAAGTTAGTGGCAGAACTGAGAATAGAACCCAGGTCTCCTCACAGCCCCATACCTTATCCACTGGGTCTCAGTGGCTCCCTGGAAGGCGAGATTTATGTTTAAAAAAAAAAAAAAAATTAAAACTATATTTATAAAGTAGAGAAATGTTCAAATATTCCCTAATGTAAATGCACAAAAATATTAAGCTCTCTGTTTATTTGTGCTAATGGTTTTCCGAGATTAAAATAGCTAAGTATGAGGAATTAAGTGATAGTATTCACAGGACTAAATGTCTGCATAGTTGGTTATGAAAGTCAAGATTATATAGTCAGTCAATGTCTCAGAGATGCTGTTTGTCTTGAATTGTGGAACCTCATAAAGGTTTCAAGATATCTGGTATGTTTTTAATGAAGATCTCAAATACATCCCTCCAGATTTTACTTTGTTTACTTAAAGCAGGTGTTGAATAAAACTGTGTTCAGATATGTTGCGTTTATTGAATTATTAAATAAACTACCAAATTAGAAGTGCTAATCCAGCTGTTTTCCTTTGTTTTCCCCTACATGACTTTACCTTTAACTGCTAAACTGAACTGTAACAGAGGAAGTTTGTCGTCGTCTTCCCCCCCCCCCCCCAAATAAAAAAAAACAAATACAGGAAGTCAAATTCTGTCTTTGCAACACAGGGGCTATATGTGTATATCTGAGGGCAGAGTTTGGCCTTATGAGTTTAATTTTTAAAAAATTAATAAAACAAACACAAACTTTTCTTGGTATGCCAGGCTGCACCAACGTTAATAACGTGGAATGATTCTTCTTGTCTTACGTTTAGATCAAATAAGAAATGTAACAACTGGACAAAAAGCGGAAATACAAAGTTCTGCAAATCCCTCTGGCTATCTGTGTGGCGTTTTTACAGATTCAGCACAGTCTTTCTCCAAATCAATGTGATTTCACTAGGGATTTTTACTGGAGCACTGAGGATTTCAGTGTCCCTGGGTGGTATTAATGTCCTGACCCTTGCTTTTAAAACCATTTTATCTTTCTCTTAAATTCTAATCTTATATCAAGACAGGTGGCAAAATAGTTAATCTTTAAATATTTCTTACTGATAGTTTCATTAATTATCTTGCAGTCTTGACAAAGTGAATTTTAAAAAAATGCAAGACACACTGAAGTGCAGCAAAGGAAATTGAATGGTTACTTTTTGGGGTTTTTTTAAACTGAACTGTTGCATTAGTGCTGCAAATAACCATGCATATATTTTTGCCCTCAACAGGAACAGACTCATGAGTAGAGTATATATTAATTCCCTGAATAATCAAAAATGATTCCAAACAACATGGCTTGGTTAATTGGGGTTTATTGCTCCCAGACAGTGATGTGTCAGCCTCAGAGAAGATGTGACATCACTAGTTTGTTGCTATCATCTGGTTGAGGATGAGACAAGTACCACTAGCTGCCTGTGGTATTGGGGACTGTGCCTTTAAGGGCTGAGCTTCCCAGAAAGAGTCTGAGCAGGGTGCTGTGAAGATCTTACTATGCACAGCCATTTGGAACGGACACAGGATAAAGCAGGGTCCTTACGCACTGATGCTCACCAAATACGACACTGCCCTCATTACATGGCAGCTGCAGGTGGAGGACTGCAGACTAGCAGGGGTGCTGGAACAATTTGTATAGTGGGGGTGCTGAAAGCCGTTGAATCAAACTATAAGCCCTGTATATAATGAGCTCCAGCACCCCTAGTTCCAGCACCTATGAAGACTAGTATAATTCAAATATAGTTAACTGCTTTTCAGGCTAATATACTTATTAGTTGGTGACATCCCTTGATACACTGCAAGAAAAGAATCTAAATCTTCATTTAAAGGAAAAATGCTTTTACAGGCGAGTCTCATCTTGCGCTGGGGTTACGTTCCGTTGTCAGTGCGAAAATCACATATGATCAAAATTACATTGAGTGTAATGGCGGGCGGAATCGCCCGCACTACTGGTACAGTATTTAAATTGTTATTTTTCTCTTTTTTTGTTTTTGTTTTTGTTTTTGCTGACCGCGCAAAGCTGAATTCGCGCATGTTAAATGCACGTAAGATGAGACTCTCCTCTATTACATGAAATGTATTAAATGCTGAAGACTTTCATGTCATCAGACACTTTAAAATCTGTCCACATTTTAGGCCTTTGAAGAAATATCATGAGCACCTAGTGTTGTCTTTCAGGTGGAGCAGGGGGGCGCAAAAAACCTAATTGGCTTCAAGACTCAGTTTGATAAAGTTATGGAGGGGATGGGACTGCCTACAATGACACATAGTTGATCTGGGAGTGCTAGTAGCAAATATCCCCAAAGGCTAGTGATGAGAATCTAGATGGGGAGGGCTCTGAGTTACTACAGAGAATTATTTCTCAGATGTCTGGCTGTTTGGGCCTTGCCCAAATGCTCAGGGTCTAACTGACCACCATATTTCGGGTTGGGAAGGAATTTCCCCAGGGTCAGATTGGCTGAGATTCTGGGAGGTTTTCGCCTTCCTCTGCAGCAGGGGTCACGGGTCACATGCAGGTTTAAACTAGAGTCAATGGTGGATTCTCTGTAACTTGAAGTCTTTAAATCATGATTTGAGGATTTCAGTAACTCAGCAAGAAGTTATGGGTCTATTACAAGAGTGGGTGGAGGAGGTTCTGTGGCCTGCAATGTGTAAGAGGTCAGACTAAATAATCAAGATGGTTCTTCTGGCCAAAGTCTGTGAGTGTACAAGTTTTAAATGAATTTGATTGCATCAGTATGAACATTCTAACTCTAGAAGGAGGAGGGTGTCTTCTTGGATGTCCATTGGATGTATTGTTAATTCAGACATTATCATGTTACTGCAGAGAGGGTAAGGATTGAGAAGCAGCCTGAAGGCCTCATACCCACTTGTGTAAAAGACCATCTTCTTCAGCAAATCCAGATATGTTTAAGTTACGAAAGATCAAGAGATTTTAAATTATGCATATATTTAACTCCTGAGTTAAGTGTGCAGGAACAAAATTAGATTTTTTAATGTTTCTTCAACAAACTAGTAGTATTATTAGTCACTTAAAAAAAAAAAGCATGCTGGTGTTCTCTTTAACTTTATTTTAGTTATATGATTTTTAGTAAGCTGAGATTGTCCCTTCAACAGAGAGTATTAATTTTAAATTTTTCTTATTAAATTGAAAACTCAAAAAATGAATTTAGCTTTCACCATTGATCTACTTACTTATTTGTATTTTTAACTACTTGGGAAATAAAATGGAGTTGCCAGTCTATTTAAAGTCAGTTTCCCTTTTTGCATTAGCACAATGCTGCAATGTTTAGGTTGCAAAAATAGCATTATAATGCTATCTAGAAACCTTGTTAAAAGCCTTATATTTTAAAAACATTCATAGGTTTTCATTGCTGTTGGGTTTTATAAAAGATTATTTTTAATTACCTAATTTTTGGGTCAAATATGACATGACAGTATCTCTTTAATTGCTGTACATAGGTAAGCATTTCAATATTGTCATAACTTAATGCTTTCATACTTAACATAATAAGTATTCGGGTTTTTTCTACAAAAAATAAAACCTGCCGCGCTTCAATACATGTGCCCTCATTCAGAAAGTAAATTATTTACTTTATAGTGTTGCTCATCACATTTTATTGACTAATGCCTGCTAGTGTACAGTAGACATCATTGTATCTGTTCCCTAAATTTAATATTAACACAGCTGTCATTTGTGAGAAAATTGCCTTTTCTTTAAATTTCAGTTGACAATTTCTCTTCTTCCCTACTGATGTAGTCATCAGTTGTGTTAATTTTCTTTTGCTTAAATATTAAGAATTAAGATCTTTACATGTAAGCATAATCAAATAGATTTTTTAAATTGCTTTGTGCTATACCACTGAATTGTAACCCCTGCTGATGATTGATTCCATAATTGTTTAATCTTGATGTTTTTAATTTCAGTGGATTTCCTTCCAATAAATTAACACTACTATCTAACTTGAGTCTCTCATCACTTATCTGAAGCAAATATCTGTGAATTCTATTACTCAGTAACTTCTGTATTGGTCAGAATGTGAGGTTCTAATATGAAATCATTCACTAATCATTGCACTGTGTACATATAAGAACTTAGTATGTGACAAAAGCAATTGTTTTTTATCTTGTTTCAGGTACTTTAGAAGTAAGGCTCATGGGTTGCCAAGATATTCTGGAAAACGTCCCTGGTCGATCAAAAGCTACATCAATTACTCTACCTGGCTGGAGTCCAAGTGAAGCCAGATCATCTTTCATGAGCAGAACAAGCAAAAGTAAAAGTGGGAGTAGTCGAAACCTTTTGAAAACAGATGATTTGTCCAGTTTAGTATTCTTTTTATTTTTTAAACAGTCTAATTGAAATGCTCAGAAAAAGTTAATTGTTTGTTTAAAAAAGCCCTGCAATATAAAACCTGCTCAGCGACTGTACCTTTATTACAGCTAAACCTCAAGCAATCACTTCCTGTTGTGTTATGCATATTGCTCAGGAAGAAAGATGGCAGTAAAACAAAAATTGACATTGTTTTAAATATTACCAAAGTGTTAAGAGGGGTTCTTGGTGGGGCTGTTGCTACTGTATAGGACGAATGACGGAAGAGAAGAGCGTAAGAGAATTCAAAATGTCATCAGATTTACCAACCACATACCCACATGGTTTTTGAGAAAAGTGCATTTTTATATTTGTGGCTTGTGTAACTGAGAAATGGATTTCAAACTTAAAAATGGTCTAGCTCTTCATCTGATATGTTGATGGATCGAAAATTCTTTAATCCTAAATTTAATTGGTTCATGTGGGCATAATGGTATTTTTTAGTAAGGCATTAACACTGAAGTTTTTTTGTTTTTGTGGAAAATCCTCTTATACCTTTTAAGCTGAGTTTGTGTAACTTACTTACAGATGAAATCTGTGCTGTATTGAAGCTGGACAACACTGTGGTTGGTCAAACTAGCTGGAAGCCTATTTCCAATCAGTCATGGGATCAGAAGTTTACACTGGAACTAGACAGGGTAAAGACACTACTGTTTCCATTGATGGAGATTGTCAGTTCCATAGATTAATTTCATGCTTCTTTGTGTCTGTTCTTTTCAGCTGTTATGAACCTATTCAGATTCCATGTATATAAGTATTCCTGTTCTTCATGGAAGCAATTTCATGGCATGAAGTGTTAGTTCTTCTTCGAGTGCTTGCTCATATCAATTCGTTAGGTGTGTGCGCGCCGCTTCCATGAAAGGTTTTTTTTTTTTCCCCAACAGCACCCATTAGGTTGGCTCTGGAGCCCCCTGGAGTCGCACCTTCATAGTGCCACGTATAGGGCCCCACCGATCTGCCGCTTCTCCAGTTCCTTCTTACTGCCAGTGGTGGTTGTTGGACCGTTTCGTCTCTCATCTTCAATGAGCGATCCTCTAGCATATGTTCTGTAAATAGTTAAAGATAGTTTTAAAAATTGTTGTAGTTAGTTAGACATCTGGACTTGGGGTACTGGGGGGTATTTCCTTCCCCCGCTTCCCCGTCCCTCTCCTGGGCCCGGGGCATGCCTCAGACCCAGGGGTTTAAGCCATGCGGGGTTTGCCAGAAGCCTATCCCAAAGGGTGGCCTGCACTTGGCTTGTCTAAAGTGCTTGGGGGAGTCCCATTAAGCAGACAGGTGCAAGATCTGTAGGAGCTTTCGCCCCCTCACAAAGGAGGAGAGGGATCAAAGACTAAAGTTGCTGCTAATGGAAGCAGCTCTCCGCCCTCAGTCTGAGTCGAGCTCTGTGGACATGGCACCGGGCTCCTCAGTGTCGGTGCGCAGCACACTGGCTTCAGTTGAGGAGGTGCCGAGGAAGGACTCTGGGAGCAGAGACCCTCGGCACTGGCATTGCCTTACGCCGAGCATGGCGCAGGATCAGTCTTGGCACTGCTCACAGTCTGCTGTCCCAAAGAAGCAGCACAGGAAGACTGATAGAGGGTGCTCCCCTTCCCACGCACGGGAACGTGAGCCCAAGGGAGGGAGACCAGTGCAAGACCGTACCTCCCCTCCAGCTCAACAGTAGTCACAGTTGACTCCGGGACCCTGGCACCAATCCCCAGCAGCGATGGGCACTAGAGCCACCGGCACTCCCAGTCAGCGGGGATGACCCAAACATTTCCCCCGGTACCGTGGCCACCACAATGGCAGGTACCAGCTCAGGTGCCAACCCAGTGGCCCTTCTGGACCCCGAGGGCTTACCACCAGTCCCAGGGGTCCACCTCGGTACGCTCCTTTTCCATCAGGTCCGAGAGAAGGACTGCGTCTAGGGGCAAGGATTTCTCCCTGGCATTAGCCACCGCTACCACTGCCAGTGCCACAATTGGTACCATGCCCTGCACCGACAACAGATCCAGCACCATGGCTATACTAGTATCACGGACGGTATCACGACCAGTACCAGAGCCAGCACTGAAGCGGACTCTGACTTGGGGGTGGAGCCACAGCGTTTTGAAGAGCCGGATGGGCAGGAGGGCCCCTCTCATATTCTGGACTCCTCATCATCGTCTCCAGATGAGGCGGTGGCAGGGATATCTTTGGGGCCCCTCTTCTTGACAGCAGAGCCCACCTTGAACTTCTGAGGCGGGTTGCTCAGAACTTCGGGGTACAGATGGAGGAGGTTACTGAGGTGTCAGACCCAGTGTTAGACATTTTATCCCTGGCAGGACCCACCAGGGTGGCCCTTCCCCGATAAAGACCATTCAGGAAAACACAAACCCCTGTGGCAAATACCATCTACTCTGGTCCTACAGGTAAGGGAGTCGAGAGAAAGTACTTTGTGCCCTCCAAGGGCTATGAATACTTGTTTACCCACCCCCCGCCGGACTCATTGGTAGTGGCGGCTGTTAACGCAAGGGAAAGGCAAGAGCAACAAGGACCTACCCCTCGAGCTAAGGACGCAAAGAAGCTGGACCTCTTTGGGAGGAGGATATACTCCACTGGGAGGCGTCCGCTTTGGATTGCAAACCAGCAGGCGATCCTTAGCTGATATAACTTCAAGTCTTGGGACGCAATGTCCAAATTCTCGGACCTTGTCCCACCGGATTCTAAGCTGGAATTCTCTGCTCTCATGGACGAAGATGTGCCAGGACGTTGCTGCAAGCGGCATTAGACTCAGTGGACTCTGCGATGTGGATGATGTCTTCGGGCATCACAATGCGCCGTTGTTCATGGCTGCAGGCCTCGGGCCTCCCTGAGGAGGTCCCACAGACAATTCAGGACCTACCATTTGAGAGGGCCACATTATTTTCAGAGAAAACAGACTTGAGACTCCACAGTCTGAAAGACTCCCGAGCCACTCTAAGATCGCTGAGTGTGCACACTTCTGCCACCCAGCATCGACAATTTATGCCTCAACCTGCAACACAACCATACCAGGGGCAGTTTAGGCAGGACCAGAACCGCCGTCACCCAACCCCTGAATAACAGGGGGTCTGGGTCGTCCAGGCAGCCACTAGGCCCTAGGCAGACTTTTTGAGGATGTGCCCAACGGTGTTGTACCAACCTTTCAACTGGATCCTTCTTTCCCGTTTTCGGAACATCTATCCCATTTCTACCAAGCGTGGTCCCAAATCACCTCAGACCATTGGGTCCTCCGAACGGTAGAGATGGGATATTCTCTCCAATTTTCCTTGCCCCCCTTTCCCGTCCCTCTTCACGGACCCCTCTCATGAGCAACTTCTCGTCCAAGAGGTACAAACCCTCCTATCAGCGGGAGCTCTGAGGTTCCACTGGAGCTCAGGGGAAAGGAGTTTTACTCCTGGTATTTCCTAATACTGAAAGTAAAAGGGGGCCTTAGACCCTTCTTGGACCTGCACAGTCTCAACAGGTTCATGAAGAAACTAACGTTTCTAATGGTCTCTTAGGCCACTATTATCCCGTCCCTGGATCCAGGAGATTGGTATGCCGCCCTCGACTTGAAGGACACACATTTCCATAATTCTGCCCTATAGGTGCTTCTTAAGGCTTACAGTTGGGAGTTCCCACTACCGATTCACAGCGCTACCGTTCTGCCTATTGTCAGCACTTCAGGTGTTTACCAGATGTATGTCAGTCATGGCCACATTTCTGGGGAAAAGGTAGATTCAGGTATTTCCTTACCTAGATGACTGGCTAGTCAAGGGCCGGTCCAGAACACAAGTGGATCAACATGTTTCCCTCATAAGATCCACCTTCAATGCAATGGGTCTCCTCCTAAACACTCAAACATCAATGCTTACCCCTACTCAGAGAATAGAGTTCATAGGAGCAGTGCTAGACTCCGCACAGACCAGAGTGTTCCTGCCCCAATCCCGCTTCCAGGACAGTCACATAATACAGGCTCTCAAACAATTCCCTATAACCACAGTAAGGAGTTGCTTAAAAATCCTAGGTCACATGGCATCTTGCACGTATGTAGTACAACATGTGAGGCTCAGACTCAGACCTCTCCAAGCTTGGCTGGCATCAGTGTATTGACCAAGCAGGCACAGTCTAGACATGGTGGTTACCCTTCCACCAGACGCTCTCAAGTCTCTTCACTAGCAGCTCAACCCACACTTGGTGTGCGCAGGGGTTGCGTTTTCCAAACCCGACGACCGATGCCTCAGCCATGGGGTGGGGGACACACCTTGGGGAGCACAGAACTCAGGGCCTCTGGTCTCAAGAGGAACTGATGCTTCACATCAATGTAAGGGAGCTCAGGGTGGTCCAGCTGGCATATCAGGCCTCTCCTGGGGAGGGAAAGTGCATATCGGTCCTGACAGACAATACAACAGCGATGTTTTATATCAACAGACTGGGGTGCACGCTCCTCTCCCCTGTGTGAGGAAGCCCTCTAGCAGACCACCTCAGCAGGTCTTTCCACAACCATGAGTGGTCTATCCGCCTGGATGTGGTAAATAATAATTTCCAGAGGTGGGGAGTTCCCCAGATTGATCTGTTCGACACAAGGGCCAATAGGAAGTGCCTACAGTTCTGCTCCTTCCTAAACCACAGCCCGGATTTGTTGGCGGATGCATTTCTCCTTCCATGGAAGGACTGCCTGTTCTACGCATTCCCTTCCATACCACTGATTCACAAGGTCCTCCTCAAAGTCCGGAGCGACGGAACCTCAGTGATCCTGGTGGCACTGGCCTGGCCACGTCAGCATTGGTATACTAAGTTACTGCAGCTATCGGTGGACACTCCAGTTCCTCTACTGCTAGTTCCGGACTTCGTCACTCAATATCACAGAAGGCTTCAACACCCCCAATCTCGAGTCTCTCCACCTCTTGGCTTCGAAGCTGCATGGTTGAACCTGCTAGAGCTTATATGCTCAGACCCTGTTAGGGAGGTTCTTCTGGGTAGCAGAAAGCCTTCAACCAAAGCAACTTACCTAACCAAGTGGAAGAGATTCGCGATTTGGTGCTTTTGGAGTTGTATCCCTCCAACACAATCGTCGGTCCCCTTTATCTTAGACTATCTTCTAAAGTTGGAACAGCAGGGCTTGTCTCACTCCTTGATAAAGGTTCACCTGGGTGCCATCTCAGTTTTTCACCCAGGAGCGCATGGACGCACCATCTTCACTAGCGAAATGGTGCGGCGGTTCCTCAAGAGTTTAGACAGATTATATCCTCATATTTGCTAGCCCACCCCCGCTTGGGACCATAACTTGGTACTCTCGGGGCGGATGGGGCCCCTGTTCAAGCCCCTAGCTATGTGCTCACTCCTCTACCTTTCCTACAAGGTGGACTTTTTGGTTGCAATAACATCAGCCAGAAGGGTGTCTGAGCTCAAGGATCTCACAACTGACCCTCCGTATACCATTTTCTACAAAGATAAGGTGCAACTGCGACCCCACCTGGCGTTCTTCCCAAAGGTGGTCTCGAGTTTCCACACCAATCAAGACATATTCCTTCCAGTCTTTTTCCCCAAACCCTATGCCAGTAGCCGCAAGCAGAGGCTCCATTCCCTGGATGTACAGCGTGAATTGGCTTTTTATACTGAACAAACTAAGCCATTCTGTAAGTTGAACCAGCTGTTTGTTGCTGTGGCAGACAGGATGAAAGGCTTCCCAGTGTCCACGCAGAGGATATTGTTGTGGATCACATCCTGTATCCAGGTGTGTTATGACCTCGCTAAGATCCCTGCCCCCACTCTGACTGCACACTCCACCATAGCTCAGGCATCTTCGGCGGCCTTCCTGGCCCGGGTACCAATCCAGGCAATATGCAGAGCGGCTACGTGGTCTTCGGTCCACACCTTCACTTCACATTACACCATCACCCAGCATGCCAGGGATGATGCAGTGTTCAGCAGGTGGCTGTGTGCTTCAATCAGTGATTCCATAAACTCCAACCCCACCTCCTAGGTAAGGCTTGGGTGTCACCTAATTGGAATTGATATAGCAAGCACTCGAAGAAGAAAAATCGGTTACTCACCTTCTTGGTCTTCGAGATGTGTTGCTCATATCCATTCCAAACCCACCCGCTTCCCCTCTGTCGGAGTATCCAGCAAGAAGGAACTGGAGGCAGCGGGTCGGCAGGACCCTATATGCGGCGTCATGAAGGTGCAACTCCAGGGAGCTCTAGAGCCAACCCGACAGGTGCCACTAATAGAAAAACCTTCTGGTGAACTGTATATGCAGCATGCACACACTTAATTGGAATGGATATGAGCAACACATCTCAAGAAACAACAGTTATGAAAAGGTGAGTAATTTTACAAAGGGTTAATGTTCTAGCAATCTCAACTCTGATGATCTAGCTCAAATCTAGTTGTGGTCTCAGATAAAAAAATATTTAGCCTCATTCTATCCCAAAATGATGGATGTTTTGCTTAGATCTTACACAATTTGGAAAAACTGAACAAGACTGATAATTTTGTTCGACATGTCTGGGGCTGTAATGCAGGTGTTATAGAATACAGTTCAGATGTGGAAACTTGCACAATGTTTGTCCATGTACTGTCTAAAAGTAGAGAGAGCTGGTAATTCCATATCTTCATGAATATAATCAGAATTCACACAAATTGGTGGAAGCACTTGTAAAGTTTCAGAACAAGTTTATCTCCTACATGTAATTCTTAGGAAACAAGTATAGAACAGGATTGCACGCTTCACATTTCTTTACCCTTTCTTTTTGTCCATTTAATGTTGTTGAGGTCTAATTAAACTTTACTTTGTACTTGAATCTGTGTGGTTTTGTGTATATATACCAAGACTTAAAAAAAAAAAGAAAAACAAACCAAAAAAACCCTAAAGTTAGGCTCTGAAATAAATTAGGGTTAATTTTCAGATTGATTTGCCTCAAATGTTCCCTCTGAGATGTATTCCAAAGGGGGTCCCCAGTTTTGCTGATTTGTGGTTCCCCCTCTCTGAAGCTAAAAGCGAATTCCTTCCTCTTAGGAAACAAGCAGATTTACCCCTATTGGGACAATCCAGACTGCATGCTCTGAAAACAGAAGTAGTATGGGATATATGTGGGGCCCTGTGGTCTTGGTTACTAAGCATCAGATTTAGCCTTCAGAATAAACACCACTAATCATCATCCCCTTATATTTACCCTCTTCCATTGTTGCTTTTAAAACATAGCTACCATTGTTTATTTCAGTTTGTCCTGCTGTCTATTGCTATAATTAATTCCATAAAGTGTGGTCATTATTTTGTAAAGTATTGCTCTTTATTTTTGGTAGCATCTTTCATAACAAGCATATAGGATTGAAAGAATTACTGAGATTGGGGTTTTACAGAGCAAGATGTATCAACAGTTCCAGTTAGTTGAAAAACTTAGAATTTACCCCGTGTGAGCCACAAAATGCTCTGCAAACGCATATCTGGTTCTAGAGTTACTATGCAGAATTGCTCAAATGACCACAGGCCACCTTGTGACTGATGTAATATACTGAGTATTTGTGGGTGACAGTATCTAAATTTTTTTCTGAAATTATAATTTATACAGAGTATTGAAGTGTTTTAAACTGTCCCACAAATAGCATACATATATATAAAACAAACTATTTTTACACATGATTGACTCTTGCTCTGTGAATTACTCCTAACAAGTAGCCTTTGTAACAGTGGAGAACTTTCTTCTTCACCTCCACCTTGACCAAAAGCCCTATCTTCTTGGAAAGACTTTATACAAGGGCTCCCTTCAACTGTTGGTATGGCCATACGTTCAGGCATCAGTGACGATTTTGCTTGATGCCACCAAAACCAGCATGGCACCCACTTTGGCACTGGCATTTACATTGAGACCGATACCTTTCCTGTCAAAGGAGACCGCTCCATTGGAGCAGACAGCTTTCCCAGGCTTAACCTCATTTCTGGCACTGCTGCCTTTGAGGACAGCCATGTCTGAGTTGGAATAGCTGTGACCAGCAACTGTCAGCACCAGCATCTTTGCTGCCTCAAGAAGAGAGGCATGCTTCTGATGACTGGGAAGGAAGCTCCTTCAGGGAAAATGGAGGAGTCCCCTATAAGGGACTATATCAACAGTGCAACCCCTGATGGATAAATTAGGACTTGGTTCATCAGGAATAGAGATGGACTGAAGTGGTTTCAAGAGCTGATTTGGAGAATGGCTGACACTCCTTAGTTTCAGACAGGTTTCAGCACCAGACTCTCTTTTGACGTCATGGAATGGCAGACAAAAGACAATGTCGCATTTCTTATTTTTCCATGACTACTCAATCAAGCAAAGGACATTTGGCTCTCTGCCCTCATTCCCAGTTTCAAAAAGAGCTAATCTTGTACGTTTTGTGCCCTCAAGGGACACCAGTTTTGTTACAATATCCTTCTGTAGGTTCCATGCAGGAATCTGCAGCCCAAGCATTATCTAAAAGTAACAAGGGGTCCCTGTCTGAACCCTTGGACGGAGAGTAGCATAGACTGAATGCTGTTGGGAGGAAAGCCAATTATTCCACCTTTTTGGGTTTACAAATGGCAAATTACCAAGATGTCATGTCTAGATATAACTATACTATGGGACTCCTAGATTTCCATCTGTCATTTTATGTCGTCCTCCCTGTTTTCTTACCCTAATCCCATGTTCACCAAAGCAAGTCCCACTTGTACCCCTTAACACATAAAAAGAGCAATGTGCTATTAGCTAGAGAGGATTAAGTCTTTCCCAAAAATCAAACAGATTTGTTACCTGAGGAGAAAGGGGTAACCTATTAATTAGCTAATTCTTTCAGACTGGATTAAGGGGTGTATTGAGTAGTGTTACTTCTTTGCCAGGAAACCAGTGCCTCTTGACTTGAAGATACTCTACTAAGGCCACACCTGCCTTTGTATCCTGTCTGTCCAGGTGCCTGTTGCAAAGATTTGCAAATCAGCAACATAGAGTTCTGATGAATGAGCACAATGTTTACTTAAAAAAAAGTATGGACTTGGCATTGCAGTCCAGTGCTCAATCTGGTAAAATGATGGAGGAGTCCATTTTTGCCTAGATCTCCTCACCCACCATCCTCTAATGGGGACGCTGCTTGCTAATCATCCATAAGTGGGAATGCACAGAGACACTAGAAGAAAAAAGAATGGTTATTTAGTGGTAACTATTATTCTTCAAGAGTTGCCCCTACATTCACACTATGCACCCAGCTTCACCTCCGCCTTAGAGGCTAAGGAGGAGAAACTGAGGTGCCTTAGGGTGGAAGGGAGGGTGCACTCCTTTATGTAAACTGAGCCAATTACATCATCCTAATGTGAGAGTGCTCCTGCATCCCCAGCTTTTGTATACAGCTGTACACCTCAACACAAGAGGAGCTAGACCCTGGAAGTATGACTGCACAGAGGCAACTAGTAAGTAACACTTCTTTTGTTTGTTTACTGTTGTAGTCACGTGAACTAGAAATTTCAGTTTATTGGCGTGATTGGAGGTCTCTGTGCGCAGTGAAGTTTCTGAGATTAGAAGATTTCTTAGACAACCAGCGACATGGCATGTGTCTCTATCTTGAACCACAGGGTACTCTATTTGCAGAGGTAAGAGCACTTAATGCAAAAACTCAACCACATTTGAAATAATTAAATTGCAGAATATTTTAAATGGCTTTTAATAAACTCTTAAGAATGCATTATATTCTGGAAGTGGAATTGTAATATACAAATTATCTGAACTGCAGGTTACATTTTTTAATCCAGTTATTGAAAGAAGACCAAAACTCCAGAGACAAAAGAAAATTTTTTCAAAACAACAAGGTAACAATTTATTAGGAATTAAAATTAAATTATAAAACTAAAAATGTACTACAGATTTGCATGTTTTTATGCACAGTCCTAAAATATAATTGCAAATAAAGTTGGTGATAGTTAAATCTTTAATATTACATTCAGAAATGTTTGTTTAGAATTATGCAGTAGCATTTAATGGTAAATTGTTGAAAATTGCTAAGGAACATGACAAATTCAGTTTGTTCTCCATAAATTATAAACTGATGAATTTTAATTATAGCTTTTGGTGATATGTAAAGAAATTACTTGTGCTCTATTTTCTTTATTCACAATATCTACAGGCAAAACATTTCTCAGAGCTCCTCAAATGAATATTAATATTGCCACTTGGGGAAGGCTGGTGAGAAGAGCTATTCCTACAGTAAATCATTCTGGTACCTTCAGCCCTCAAGCTTCTGGGCCTGCTACTGTGCCAGTGGTTGATACATGCATTCCTGAACTAGCACGGTCAGCTAGGTAAATGTCTAAGATTTTGAAGCCAGATTTACATACAAAAGTAATGGTGCAATTCTTATTTACTCATGTAAATGAAAAATCTTCCTTATTTATTCTACAAAATTTAAACCTTGACATTTTCTAGTTGGACATCCATTTGTTGTATTTATTTAAAAAAGGAAAAAGTAAGATTTTCTAAAAACACATTAAAACAGGTTTTTTAATACTAGTAAAACAATCTCCATTGTACTCTGAGTGTGTTTATTTTTTTTTGTAAGTGACTCGCCTGTAGCCAAACTGGACTTTGAACTTGAACCTGAACCGCCGCCTGTTCCACCCCGTGCATCGTCCCTTGGAGAAATATGTGACTCATCATCTGAGAAAAAGGGACCGGATACACCCATTCAGGCAGGACATTTAAACTAGTCATAAAATGTTGCATAGCATGTCACATTTTTAATCAAGTATTTAATATTTGTGTTACAACATTTTGTAGTTACAATGCATTTATTTCCTTCTGTTTTAAATAGAGAACGCTACAATTTGTGTGTATGAAATTTTAACAAATTGTACATAATTGCACATGGCATGTTTTAATACTGGCTATAGAGATTGGCCTTTTTCCATGGTTTTAAAGTGTTTATGTCACACTGTTTCCCTACTGGTAGCTTTATAGGCCCAAAACCCAATTCATGCAATTTATAGAGAAGTGTGTTAGTATTCACAAGGAGTGGAATGACTTTAGAAGAATAGGATTTAACAGAAGCCTGTCAGTAAATATAGCATTTTAGGCTCATTGATATTTTGAATTTCACACAGTTGAAGTTTTGCAGTATTTTTTACTTCTCTTTCCTTAAATATAGTACATTTCTTCATTCTTCAGCAGTCTCATTTTCTAAATCTTCAGATTTCTGTTTCTTCTACATATTTCACAGGATGCAGAAACTACTTTTGATTTTGAAAATGAGAGAGATAGTAGTGTTTCAAAACTCCAACCTGAGATAATTTGTGACCCTGAAATTCCACACACAGACATAAAGAGTACCAACATAGGAGAGCCTGAAGATAGAAGGTAAAAAACACACTAGGTTTTTTGTTTTTTTTTGACTGTTTTGTTGTTAACCCTAACTTGAAGTTTTCTGTAACTTATTACATTCATTGCTGTTTTACAGAACACAAAGATTTCAATTTAGTCTGCAAGATTTTAGGTGTTGTGCTGTACTGGGTAGAGGTCATTTTGGAAAGGTAAATTTTTTAATGACTATAAGTGTATTCAAAAAAGAAAAACTCACCTGTTTGAATAAATCACTTATCTACTCTTTCAGGTGCTGCTGGCTGAATACAAAAACACAAATGAGATGTTTGCTATTAAAGCGTTAAAGAAAGGAGACATTGTTGCTCGTGATGAAGTAGACAGGTCAGTTTCAAGAAAGTAACTAATACATGATGATGTATATTTTTCCTCTGCAGGAAATAGTGACTGGGTTGTAAATGATCATAGATTTTAACAGAGTAATGTTACTGAGCCCAGAGTTCAGATTGTATTTAGCAGAGGAATTCTCATGTAAGGTATTTGTTTCTCAGTCCAGTTGTGTTTAATTAAACAGTAGTATTGTGGTTATACATATGAAATATTCTCAAGTGGCTACAGTAGAAAGAGAAATTTCCCATTGTAGCTGCAAATTTGATTTTCATGAGTTTTGTATCAGTCAAGAACTGTTAGGTTTCCCTTTACCTGCCAATATAAATATGAACTTAACACACAGGAATTGGTGTTACTAGAGGCTTTCATCTTAGTCTGTTGATCTTCTGAGTGTAACTAGTCTCCTTTTTTTATTTGGGAGAGAACACAAATTACCCTACCACTGGGAGGGGCCATTATGGTATGGTCTGAGCTTACCATATTGAGGAATGTTACCTCAGCAGTCATTGCCCAAACATCGAAATGATGAGGTTAAAAAACCCTCCTGAATTCCAGGTCCCTATTCTTATGTTTAAAAAATCCTATAATTTCAGAGCCCAGGAAACAAACATGACCTTGAGAAGAATAAAATCAAGCAGGAGGAGAAATATAGCTAAAACTAATGGTCAGCTGTTTCTCTAATACAGGCGATCTAATGAAGAAACTCATTGACTTCAGAAACTTATTCCTTTCTTAGCAGTCCAAAGTAAACCACATCTTTACTGGATCTGCAGCTCTTTCAGAATAAATGTTGAGATCTCATTCTATAGCAATTTGAGGTTTACAACAGAATGTGAAAATCATCTCTACACTAAAATATTAATTCAAGAGTTACTTGGAAAAATAGTCCTGGAGGTTTTTTTTACAAACCACTTACTCTCAGTGAAACTTCTTGGATGGACAAAATTTCCAGCATCCTCTTCCAACAAATTACTACTACTCCATTTAGAGAGGAAATATGTGAGCAGAATGAAGGGCCTCAGAGGGAACTTCTATCAATTCTTGAAGCACTGAGTTGAGCTTGTGTGGAGTGACAATCAGTTTGTCTTAACTATTTGTATGTAGCTCTAAGAAATTTGATAACATTTGGTTATAAGCCAACAGGGGGTCCTCTCATTTTTGTCCAAAAGGAGACGTTTGCACATGCAGCATAATATCCTCTAAAACCTTTTATCAAAGATCTGTTTGGGAAAACTGGGAACATACTTGATGACACTCTTCTTTTTTCAAGCAAAAGAGAGAAACAAACTGGGGAATTCTGCCCAATTTCAATGCGTAGTTCAGTAGCTAATTGAACTCTCCAAACCATGTGGCCAAGGCAGTAGAGTTTTAAAAGTCCATCTTGTGTAATAATATACAAAAAGTGGGGAAATAACTACATTACATAGACAGATATGTGTTGAGGTTCTAGGATGTCAAACCAATTAGAGCATTATGTTTGCAGTTCTCTACCAAAACTGATCTGTGTATTCATAGAAGTAAGATAATACATTTTATTGGACCAACTTCTGTTGGTTAAAGAGACAAGCTTTAGAGCCACACAGAGCTCTTCTTCAGGTCTGCCTGAAGCAAGTACCTTCAGAGTGTTATAACACTGACAAACTGAAAGTCCATGAAACAAGTGGAATTCAGGAAGATAACTGAACAAAAGCTGCTGACCTCTGCACTGGTAGCATACATCAGATAGAATACAACATTTCCTGCTTCATTAGAGAACGTGGATGTTTCCCCAGGAGTTCAGATCCTGAAGAAGAAAGCTGGATCGTGTGATCATTGAAGGAAACTAAGAGCAAAAAGGAAGACTGATGAAAGCAAAAGAGAGAGCAATATTCCCATATTGTGATTAAAGTGGCAAAAGAAGCTTGGCTTGAAGAACAGTGCATCAACATACAAAATCCTTTTGTGGCAAATGCCACTAGGAAGGCCTATCAAATCATCAGAACTCTTTTTCTGAAAGGATTCTTGGCAGGAAAAATACCCTTTCACCCAAGAACTCTGTAATATGAGTGAAACAAATTCTAAGTTGGAAGTGAAAAAGGCAGAGGAGATCTATACAAGAGAGCTTGATTTATCCCGATCAACTACAGTTGAAAAAGCTGAGGATGTGGTGTAGACATTGAAAAGCAGTAAAGCCCCTCGAACATACAAATACAAGCAGAATTAATTAACAGTGGTGGAGAAGCACTCATCCAGGCATATACCGTAAGCTTGTCACTGTGATTTGGGAGTCTGGAAGACTTGGACACAGTCCCTGACAGTTCCTGTCATAAAAGGGGAGACCCAGCTGTTTTGTGGAAATGTCATTGATACATCCTAGCAAAATACTGCTGCATATCATCCTGAAGAGAATTGCAGCCAAGATAGAGAACTTTCTGACTGAAGAACAAGAGGTTTTAGACCCAGAAGGGGTACAGTGGAGCAAATGTTAAACTTGCATGTGCTATGTGAGAGAGTACTGGAGAACGATGGAAATTTTTGTGGATTTTGCTAAGGCGTCTGACAGCATATTGGACAAACCTCTTTGGGAAATCCTATGGCTGATCGGAGTTGGTGAAAATGTAATAAGGATGAAGGTAAACCTCTATGGAAGCATGATGTCTTTTGTGTTTGTGGGACTTGAGGATAGGTGCCAGCCAGGTGCTTGCTATCCATGAACCCTCTTCAACCTGTTACCTTGAAGAAATATTAAGAAGAGTCTCTGATGGAAACTTACAGGAGATGTCTATTAGTGGATAAAAAATTAGTCATCTGTGTTTCACCAGTGATATTGACCTGATTGGATTGTCACAAGAAGAGGTGCAAAAATTGCTAGAAAGAGTAGCAATGGAAGCAGACAAGATAGATCTAAAGATATATGGTGACATCTGTTTGAAAAGGTGAAAATATTTCTACGCAAATCTGAGGAACCATTGGACTGTGTTGAGCACTTCAAATGTCTGTGTAGTGTGTGACTGCAAGGGATGTTAAAAATCATGTAGCGATCCGACATAGAATTGAACTTATGACTACTGCTGCAGCAACACTCAGCCATATTCGGAGAAGTGAAGATATTACCGTGAAGTGTAAAATGAAATTACTGCAATCTCTTGCCTTCAGCATCTTATGTGTATGGGAGACATGGACTTTAAGGAAACAGGACATTAAGAAGCTTTTTGCCTTTGAATTGCAATGTTATAGGGGACTGGTGCACATTATCTATATTTCAGTCGTTACTAGCCAGGAGACAATCGCCCAAATTTACAACATAACTGATGACAGATATCATCAAGACAATGAGACAAAAAAAACTTGAGTTTGCAGGACATGTGGGTTGGATGAGTGGAGGAAGATTGCTGAAGAAAATTTTGCAGGGATTGGTGCCAAGGGCAAAGGGTGCCCGTGGTGTTTTTCAACTATGCGGCTGACTGGATGGGATACAGTATGGTGTGCTTCTCAAGGCTATGTGAAGACTGCTGGCCAGTGACTCGTGTTATTTACTGTTCATTGTGATTTGACTCTATGGTGCTTTGCACTATGAAAGAATATATGTGTGTGTGCATGTATAGTCATGACATGCAGAAAGAAAGACAACTGAATTACAAGACTCTACATTCATGGAATGGTTTTCATAACAAACACCAGGAGTAATACTTTGGCTATCTGTGCCCAAAATATGCAATGGAATTGTTTTCCCACTTTTTGAATATTACGTGCAAAGTACAATTTGTATCAGTTGATCTTAAATCTTATATTTTGTTTAAATTTGTGGGCATATTGAGAAATTCTAACAGGTATATTTTCAAAGAGTTTCATGAGATGTTAGCCATATGTCTCCCTTCAAAGTCAGTCAAGTTGTACGGTTAAAATCCTGCATTGCACTTTGAAATTTTAGTGTTTGCGTATCATATCAAATCAGAAAAAGATTCAGGTATTATGAAAGCTTTTGGGGGGGCGGAAGAATGAGGGAGGTCTTGTCAATTGTTCTGCGTGTTGAAATTTGTAATATAACAATAAGTGTTAAATTTTGCTATTAAAATATTTTCTGTTTGCAGCCTTATGTGTGAAAAGCGAATTTTTGAAACTGTGAATAGTGTACGGCATCCCTTTTTGGTGAACCTTTTTGCTTGTTTCCAAACCAAAGATCATGTTTGCTTTGTAATGGAATATGCTGCTGGTGGAGACCTGATGATGCACATTCATACTGATGTCTTTTCTGAACCAAGAGCAGTGTAAGTGTTCACATAGTTAATACCATTAAATATTTAAAAGCTTTGATATAAATTGTTCGGTCTTAGTGGGCTGAAAAACAAACAAACACATACATTCAACTTTGCTTGCCTTTGCATGCTTGTGTATTGGATCACTTCACTGAGTACTGTAATAATCTTAAATGGACTAAAGATTAAAGCCTTGTTAAAATACATTCTAACCCAGTTTGGTTAGAAAAAAAAATATTTTCTGTTTTGGTTAGAATGGTCAAAACATTTTGTAGGCTGTCAGAATGCAAGCTTATATGCCAGTATGCTTAAATCTAAATATGTAATATTTGTAAATGTTGTTTTGAAGGATTAGTAGTCTGTTTAAAATGTTAGCTGAAATTAAAAGATTATATAAATGCTCCAGCTTCAGTGGGAAGTGTTGGATACTCCGGCAATGGGTGCCATAGAAGACTACAGTATAGGCAGGAGCAGCGCCAGGGTTTTTGGTGCCCTAGGCAGGGGGTCCTTCCGTGCTCCCGGTCATCGTCGGCAATTCTGCAGCGGGGGGGTCCTTCCGCGCTCCCGGTCTTCGGGGCACTTCGGCGGCGGGTCCCGGAGCGAGTGAAGGACCCGCCGCAGAATTGCCGACGACGACCTGGAGCGCAGACGGACCCCCCGCCGCCCCCTCTGCAAATCCTGGTGCCCTAGGCAACCGCCTAGGTTGCCTAAATGGAAGCGCCGGCCCTGAGTATAGGCAGAGAAAACATGTTACAGGTTGGGCCACTTCTGTCTAAACTTTTGCCTGATAAAATTTAAAGCTTTGACTTAGAATTGTATAAAATTCTACATGTATCACGTATTAAAAAATCCTCTGAAAAGTTTCTGTATGCAGACTATCTGCACTCTTCTGAAAGTAATTAATAAAAATACAGATTGATTAATTAAGCAAGACTGAAATTCTAGCTTTATTTAATTATTCAAACAGGTTTTATGCTGCATGTGTGGTTCTTGGACTCCAGTATTTACATGAGCACAAAATAGTTTATAGGTAAGTAATCAATACTTTCTCAAGACTGGAATTTTAACAATTTCTCCTTTTCTTAACACTGTTTTTCTTCATCTCTTCCTTGATTTGCTTACCCAAAGCATTATCTTTTTATTTCTTACATTTCTTTCTATGCTAGCAGAAGAAGTTTGTTCTGACATACTTATGAGTGTAAACCATAAGTTACTGATGAAAGTCTTAAATCAGGAAAGGGGTAATTAAAATTTAAGAGGGGCATTGCACTGCTCTTTTATTTTTAAATAATTTTTTTACCTTAGAATGAATTATTATTATTGAGTACCACTATAGGCATATCAGTAATTCCATTTTACTTTCAAATATCATTTTTTAGAGATTTGAAGTTGGATAACTTATTGCTGGATACAGAAGGATTTGTGAAAATAGCCGACTTTGGCCTTTGCAAAGAAGGTAACTGCTTTTCTTTTAAATGATTTTTCAATAGGATTACACTTGACGGTTAGCAGATAAGCAGTCCTAGAGGTAGGAGCACCTAGCATATTTACTCTGTTTATATATCACTGTAGAAAAATATCTCTGGGATCTTCTCAGCTGGAGAACAGTGAAAGCAAAAGACCCTCAGTGGGGAGATCACCTGAGTGTCTGCTATGATGGCTCCCCTCTTCTTTCTGTCAGAATGACTACGGAAGAGGGGTATTACTTTGTCATATCTGCTTGTTAACAATAAGTCATATCACATTTTGCTAAACAGTACTTCGTCCTGTTACAAGCATCATCCAATAATATCTAGAAGCATTCATTTTCTTCCCATCTACACCAAGTCACTGTTCCCTTCTCACTAATTCATTGTCCACTTTCAACAACTTTCAAATATCTCACACCACTAAGTGCAGTGAAGTAGCTCCCTAAATAGAGCACCACTCAAAATAGGGAAATATCTTCAAAAGGACACTCATTGTAATAGTCAGTTTCTGGCATCTAGCTGCTGGAGGTGCTTTCTTGCAAATGAGACATAAAACAGATCTAGCAGCCATAATTCAGATTCTCTGCCTACATTGGGAAATGTGTCCCCTTTTCCAACAACTCAGTGGGGGAGAGGGAATGGCCATCAACAGGAGGAATCTAACTGGATTTGTTTCTTTCTTTTCCAGCTTGCTTTACTTGTCCGACAACTTTCCAGGTCCCAGCACTGTGGGAAATGGAATTTAGTAAATTGAGGGCAGTAGGTCAAAGATTACAGTTGAATTATTTGCATATCTTTGATACTAGTTATGCGACTATTCACTATAAACAAAAACTTCCTAAAATTGACAAAGGGTCATGTTATAAATGTAAAAGATCAATAAGAGACAGATTTCCTCATTTTTCAATAAAGTCAAGCTCTATAGGACACTTATTAACATGGAGAATCATTCTTTTACTTTACAGTTCACCTTTAAAGTTTGGCCCAGAGTTTGTACCCACAACCTCCTAATACCACAACAGTCCTTGGTGCCATTGCCATAATGCTAATCCTACACTTTCTGCAGATGTAATATTTGGGGGCATGGGGTAAAAAAGCATGAAGACTGCACTAGTACTGTATAATTGTTCAGAAGCATGTTTTGGGAGATGGAATGTTGTACGTCACTCTGAAGGTGTGGGCAGTCCATGCATGCTTCCTTGTGGTCTGATACGGTGTTGCAGATGAGCTGCACCTTAATTTCCCCAAGCAGAGCAGCAGTAGATTCACTTTAACAGCCCAAGGCACGGAGAAGCCACCATAAGTTAACCAAATGCCATGTCACTTTTTAAGAAGGTTTCAGGACAGGAATCATTGCAACGAACAGTTCACCAGGACTATTATTCAGGGCTTCCAAATTTACAGTTCACACCAAAGTCTTTGTCAGTTTAGGCTTATCTATAGGCGCCTGAGAGAGAGAGCTCCACTCACAGTAGCCAGCCTGGCTTCTACTCCCCTCAACTTCTGTGTGTTTAAATAGCCCAGCCCCAGGAAGAGGCAGGGCCTACTTGATTATCCCTAGGCTGTTGGCTCCAGCCTGTCCCTTAAAGAGGGACTTTTCCCCATACACTTCCACAGTCCCAACCACCTTGATGCCCTTGAGTATTGGTATCATGGCTCACATATATACATAGTGATGTCTACAGTAATACCATTAGTCAGCACTGGTGCAACATACAGCACCTATCCCAATAGGAGCCTGGTCTGTAACTAGGGCCCCTAGGCACCGGGGTAATACAAATAATAATCATTGCAACTTTAACCAAGATTTGCTATATTGCCTCATTTATATACTGTGTATACCTTCAGCTAAATTCTGTGCAAGACTTTCTCTGACTTTGACATCATATGCTAGAATCTGGTAAAAGAAACCCTAATAATTTAAAGTATAGTTCTGCTGTGAAAAACGATTATGTAAAATGAAACCTTATTCAGCAGATTCACTCACTGTACATATTAATCTTTTTTGCTTATTTGAGTGTCAAAAGTAAGTGTGTGCTACTTTTTACTTCTGTTACCTGCTCTGGTTGCAGTGCTGCAAATGACAAATGTGTTCTATTTCCTCTTGTGTGCCACCAGAATTGTTTACAAAGTTCAACTTTGTTGCATCTCTCCAAGGGCATTGTCTTCAATGTGATGACCAAGGTGTAACTGAGCGGCTAATTTGGCTTGCAGAATCATCATTACTGGTAGTCATGTACAAACAGAGAATCCAGCTTAATGCACAGGGCCAAGATGGTGTTCGCATGGCTGGCAAATGGGGGAAAGATTTGTAAACTGAACTCATTTGTTGAAGTCATCAGCACAAACATGGAGCCCAACAATTCTTTTTTTTTTTCTTTCTTCTTCTTCTTTACATAGTTGCTTTGAAGAATAAATCTTATTGACTGAAGCAGTTGTTTACTTGGAAGGGGAGTAGTAAGAATACGGCTTGTTTCTTATGAAAATCGTAACTTTTTCAGGAATGGGATTTGGAGATAGAACAAGCACCTTCTGTGGCACTCCAGAATTTCTTGCACCAGAAGTGTTAACAGAAACATCCTACACAAGAGCTGTGGACTGGTGGGGTCTTGGTGTACTCATCTATGAGATGCTAGTTGGGGAGGTAAGCACTGTTGTAGCAAAAAAAATGTGATACACACATCCAAGTCTTATGGAGTAAGCAAGCTTACAAAACCTAGCATGATTACAAAAATAAACTTGATATCTCAAGCTCTCGAATTCTAGAATGTCCTACCTTTTTAAGCTGACAGCTATTGTATGATATAGGCCTGGTTCCATATCCTGTATTTTGTATGGATTTTTATGGTGTAATGAGAAAACTTGAAGGTGTAGCTTTTTGTTGTTGTTAAAAATAGAGGAATAGAAAACACCATAGGCTATAGGCCAGATCTTCAGCAGGTATAAATCATTGTAGCTCATTGACTACAGTGGCACTCTACAGTTTGAATACCATACTTACTCATTCATAACTTTCAAGCCACTTAACCAGTTATCTTCAGATTAGACTGAGTATGAGGGAGATTTACCAAAACAAGGTTGAAGTTCTAGCATCAGCCATTTTTAACACTGGAGCATGCATGCAATTTCAGATCAGAACATATGGAAAAAGTATTGGATTCTTTTTTTTAAAGATCAAAGATTGCAAACCAAATTGTTTTGTTTATTTTTAAGCAAAATTAGATAAACAAAAAAACAATATACCACAACTTTGGCCTGAATGCAAGCATGGAAAATTTCAACTTAACAGTTTTGGGGAGAAAATCATGAAATTCTGAAGAAGGGGAAAAGTTACAATGGAAGTTGGAATTCAACCTTAAACTGTAATATGCTCTCGCAGCAACCTGCAGGTCATGATGCGAGACACATTCATTTAGCATTTGACTTACTGTTTTTCTCTTGAGAGACAAGGTAGTTGTGGTACTCTCTGTTGATGGCTTGTTCCTTCCCCCAACAGAAGTTGGTGCAATAAAAGATTCACCTACCTTCTGTCTTTATATCCTCAAAGCTCATAACATGGTTACAACAACACCATTTTGCTCTTCACGCTTTTTGTGAATGTCCTATCTAATTTGTTTTCTTTGTAGTAGCCTAGAAATTCTGCACCACAGACGTTAGCATATATAAATGATTATTACCTCCCCTCCTGCCCTAATTGCAAAAACTCCTTAAAGGTGATACAACTGCTAAAGTTGAAAAACAGTAATAGAGAAGTATTTATTAATAATAACTGTCTTTAATGCCATGCGCATTTTGTCAATTTAAAAAAAAAGTTAATCACACAACCTACTTCTGTCCTTTTTCATCTTCACCCCAAACTAGTCTGTTTCTTCAAATGGAAATGAAGCGCGCCAACACCATATGACCTACAAATGGTCCATAAACCACAGTTTAAAAACTGCTGGGTGGTATGATGTGGTAAATGTTTTATCCAAACGAATTTGGGATGACCACATTACCTTGGAGTGTCAGCCACCCGAAACAAGTACTAATAAATGCTTTACCACATTAGATAGTTTATTATTTATGCCTCAGTGCACAGGAAAACTATTTTATAAGTGTGTTTTAAAAAAACGAACATCTGAAAAAAAAAAGATTAAGGAACAATATTTTGTGGCCTGCCTTGTCTGTCTATAAAAAGTATTATTATCGCATTTTCCCCTATAGAAAGCTACATTATCTATTACAGGGAGAGGGAAAATAATTTGACACACTGAGACATCTAACTCTAAACTGGCAGCTGAATGTGAAATAAGGCAATTGTGCTCCTTTTTGCTATATCTTAAATACGGCAGCAGCAACAAATTGCTTTAGTTTATTTAGAAACAATAGGTTGATTTTAAAATTTAGCTTCCAAAAAATGAGATTTTTTTTTTTTAAACTACTTTATCATAGTCACCCTTCCCTGGAGATGATGAAGAAGAGGTTTTTGACAGTATTGTAAATGATGAAGTAAGATATCCACGGTTCCTTTCTACAGAAGCCATCTCTATAATGAGAAGGGTAAGATTATAGGAAACAGTGAAATATTTTCATTTTTTTGTTGTCTTATTATTGTTTTCCTTGAAGAGGGGAATTTAAGTGCCTGCATTACATTTGACATTGTTTTCGTCAGATTGGTTTCAGTACTGCTTCACTAATGTTACTTTTTAAAATCAGCCTCACCATTTTGGTCTAACGTGAAACTTAAGTGTTTGACTATTTATTTACATTCTCTAGTTAGTGTAAAAAAAATTCATTTTCATTCATTAAAACTTCTTACATCACATTTTTGTAATTATTTAAACCTCTTGTTAATCCCTTAACACTGAACCAATTTCTTCTAGACCCTTTCTTTCCCATCCACATTTAGCTAGGAAATTCTTCTGGTTCCTTTTGTAACAGAACACCTTCCCAGTTACTCACACGGTAGCTCAGTACTTCATGAGTATTCTATGCTAAGAAAAGACTGGGATTTTCACATTTCATTCTGTCAGGGGTTGGAAATACCACACACACTACATCTAAAGACTCTTCTCATAAGAATGGGAGAAGGTGCACAATTGTATAGACACAGCATAAGTGAAATACCTTAGGCTAAAGGGTGCAGCCATATGCTCAACTAATATACAGTGTGTTTTTCCAATAGTATAAGCATTTTGGCCAGACACACCAGGGCAAACCCTTAAGAAAAAGGCATTGCATTGGCAATGTCCACAAAGAACAGACAGGACCATTACTTTTCATCCAGAAAATGTGCAAAATGAACTTTATTTTGCTCAAATTAACCTCAGAAAACAGATTCCAGTACAGTACCTGAGTAGACACTGCATGCAGTTTTGTGTTTCAAACAGAATGCTTAGGTCATTAGATCACCCCCTCTGGTGAATTGGGTTATTTCATTTATCTGCCTTCTGAGATGCTAAATTATTTCACTGTTTAGGAGGGACAGAAGATAATTTTGCTAACAAATATTTAACCTTAAAATTGAAGGAAAGAAATTATATACAGCAGATTAAAAAGCCCCTGTCAGTTCTCTCTTGAAATGTGATTACAGAGCTTTGTTCCTTTAAATCTTACACTTAAAATCAAGTAT